CTAATTATGGTTTTTCTTCAGCGTACTTGTATAGGCAACACTTATGCTTAATAGTACTTCTGCCATAAATACCTTTATTAGAAGCACAACAAATAATTATTAACTATTTAAGCGCTCGAGAAAACAGATTACTATTTAATTTATTTTATTAAAAGTATTATTACTTTGTGTGTATGAACATAATTTTTTAGAAAATGAGAAGGAGAGAGGGAGAGAGGGAGAGAGGGAGAGAGAATGTGGGGGAGTAGAAGGTTTTTGTTTTTGGTTTTTATTTTTTATTTCATTTTTTATATTGAAGGAATTTTAACATCATCGTTAAGTGAGGTTTTAATAAAAAACAATAAAATTTGAACTTGCGAAATTATATTAATGCCTATCATTTTTTTGTGTGATGGAAGACTAAGTAGTATTTTCATCCTCATTTAGTTAACAAAAAGAATTTCATTAATTAATAGAGATTAGAACGAGAAATTGATTTGAATCGACAGTTTCATTAATTAATAGAGATTAGAAAGATTAATTGATTTGAATCGTTGTACGTTTGCAGAGAAAGAATTTAATTACCAAAGCAATTCGCAACTTGCTTTCCGGAAAATAAACAGCTTAAAAATACTTTACTACTTTAAAGTTTTCATGTCTAAGGGCGTGCCATTCCATAAGGCAAAAGTTGTCAAAGTAGTCCCCTAATGACTTAACCAAGTCCATCATTCAAATTCCAATATCCATGCCTAAAACAGAACAACAGAAGCAGTGAGATAAGCACTTATGTAAACAAGGACTCTTCTAGTGGCCTCTCTGTCCATGGTTGGAAACTTTGGAGTTCATTTTTTATGATATTCAAAACCACTCTCAAGACATTTTTGATCAGTAAAAATAAGGTGCAACTCGTCGGACACAAACTGTTTATGTAATGAGGATTCTCTCCGGATTCTCTTTGTGTGGATCTCGAGGATCTTCCAATCAGATTCGTTCATCATACATTGTGCAATCAGTTTTCGTCAGATATTGTTTATATTCAATTTTAAATAAAAGAATTTACAATGATTTCTGACCGTACGATGTACGATGAACGGATGTGATTGGAAGATCTTCGAAATCTTCACAAAGAGAATCCGGAGAGGAACAGTGTGATCATAATGATGTTTATGTTGTTCAAGGAATTTGTAATATAAGACACTGTCGACACCCACCATCATTCAGATCCATCAACTAAGTAGATTTCTAATATTATTGAAAAAGCATCTTCTGCCTCGAACGCTTAAAGTGGAGACCCTGAAATTTGGAAGGCTTGTTAAGATCAGGAATGAAGTTGTTTTCAAAATCCATGACAGATTGGTAAAGTCTTAAAATTATTATAAACCGAAATATTAAAGGACGATGTTACCCAAGAAATGTAGAAGCCTTGAACGACAAATGAGTCATGGGATGTCCCAAAAACTAGTCGTTCTCTTTATCACGTTTATTGTCCCCAAGATAAAACAGCCCATGAATCTTGGTTTTCTGGTTAGTGTTGCTCCGAAACTCCTAATTTCAGAAACACAATCAGATATGGAGTTTTAATTGCTAGTGTAAAACCCCATTACCCAAAACCAATATTTATTCACAAATTAAACGAAACGTCGAGGAATCGAAGACTTAAAGCTGGAGAAAATCTACCCTTCCACACAGACACAGTGCCATCATTCCCAATCTCCTTATCCTTCCACACAGTTCCATCATTTTGTTTCTTCCATCACTTGAACATCCTACGAAAGTTTTAACGGTGGGAGGTTTTTGTTCAAAATGTCCTGCCTCACCCTACGACTCGGACGGACACAGGTACAGTGTGCTCACTGAAATTGATTATGTTTCAAGAATTATGTATAAAGTTGAATCGGAAATTCACAACTTTCGAAATTAGTAAAAGCATTTCAATTGTTATTCAAATTTTGAGATCTTCCGGACAATCAATAGTAATGAAATTTTTATGTAAAAGACCTTGATACAATTAGAAGTGATACTATTTGATATAAGGAAAGAGATTTGGAGAAGATCCATTTCCACCAAATCCACCAAAAGAATCCGGAAATGATCCCTTTCCTTCATATAAATTGTGATTCTTAACAATAATGCAATCTCCCTTGGAGGACTTGTTTATGTCGTAGGTTTCAATACCTTGCGGCTGTTCAACATGTCCTGCCTCTCCAATTCATCTCCCTACTACTCGGACGGACGGAGTGGTGCATAATGTGATCGCTAAAATCGATAATTTTTGGAAAATTTTGGATAAAGTCGAACTGGAAGGAAATTCACAGTTTTCTGAATTAGTAGAAACATTTCAAAAGTCGTCTAAAATTTTCGGACATTTGGTTTGGAATATTGAATTTTTTGGACTCATATTTTTCAATCAAAATCGGATTTCGCTATCAAACTCACACCCTTACTACAATTAGAAAAATGACACACAAATTTCTTTTAGCTTCTCATACTCATTGTTAATCAATTTTTTGTTTCTATTTGATTTATATAATTTGAGGGTTATGAATAAAGAAAGGTAAACGCTAAGCGCTCATTTGAAACTGCTTTTAAAATAGTTAAAAATTGTTTTGATCAAAGTGCTTTTGGAATCAATCATTACTAAATACTTGTTTTGAAGTACTTTTAAATGATTGAAAAAGCTTTCAGAGAAATATTTTTAGGTTTCAAACCGGTTATGTGCGAATTTCAAGTGCTTTTCTACACATATTGTCCAATATCTTAGTAGATACTAGATAGGATGTTGGGTTTTTACCTATGTGTTCTAGGTTCGAAACTCCCACTCCTAATTATTACAATAGTTTCAAACTTTTCCCTTCCCTAAGACCTACTCCAACCCTTGGAGTAAAACTCAAATTTTAGATTTTAAACTTACTCCAACTTGCTCAAACTCTTGAGGCAAATATGAGTTTTAATCCAAAACTCATTTTTGGGGCAAATTTAGCCTAATATTTCTCATGAGTTAGTGGAGCTAACCCACCATATATGTGCATTTTTTTTTACTTTTATATTTATAAATTCATTAAATCAAACGGTTAAAATCTAACATGATGAAATCTAACAGTAAAAAAAAAAAAAAAATCCAATAGTCTAAATTTAAATTCAACGGCAAAAGTAATTAAAAAATATATTATTTTATGTGTTTCATATTCTTTCATGGTGTTCCACGAGTTTCATGGTGTCGGTTTAGAGAATTTTCAATATTTGTCAAAATCTAAATATTTTTATGTTAAAATGTTCATAAAATTAAATTAAGACAGTCTACATAATTTTTTCTTTTAAAAGTTACCTTGAGAAAAAAATTATCCTAAATTCATTCTTTAAAACTCCCAGGTTAAAAACTTAACCTAGAAAGGTTGGAGGAAAAAAACTGTTTTTGAGTTAAAACCTAAATTTCTCTGGATTACAAATTTTAGGTTTAACCCAGGGATTGGAGATAGTCTAATAAGGGTGCGTTTGTTGCACTGGACTATCTCGGACTGGATTAGCTTTAGGGACTAAGCTGAACTGGCTTAGACTAGACTAAGCTGGACTGACTTAATAAAGCGTTTGATGCAGAGTCGGACTAAGAAGCAGAATAATTAACAAATCCTAATATTATAATATTTAATCTATATATATTAATATTATATTATTTAATTTATATTATTAGTATACTCCATTCTTTTTTTCATAACAATTCTCCATTTTTCTATTATCCCCCTCCCCATTTTTTTCTCCTTCCAAAGCAACCCAGTCCCTAGATATCCCAATCGCCATCTAAACCCAGAAATAGAATCTTGACCTCCTTCTGTCACAACCCGTAGAAGCAGTCTAGCAGAAACATGGCGGCGACTGATTTTTCTCCAGGAGCAGATTGGTGGAGTTATGAGTGAAGGACCAAAATACCCACAACACATCGAATGAGGAGAGATCGAATTCAAAAGCTGTCTGGCGAAGCGTTGCAAGTCCGTTAGATTTGTGTTTGAAAATGGTTTTGGGAGAGCGAGATTGGGAGTCAATGAAGCCGAGGAACTAAGCATAGAAGTGTTGCCTCTCGACAACGAGTTCGGTGATAAAGCATCTCAAGGATGGGCGACTTTGAGGTTTCGTGATTGTGGGTTCAGGGCGAGGAAGGAGAGAGTGGTGGCCTTCTGGTGGTGTAAGAGGGAGAGCGGGAAGGATGTGGTTGTCGCCTCGTGAAACATAGAGCAGAGAGGGGTTTTAGCTAGTCCCATGGTTTCCTGGGACTCTCGCTAATAACCTCTAGCGATGTCCTTAGCCCTAGTTTGGTATTGAGATGATTCTAAAAAAAGTGGCTATAAAAAAAAAAACTGGGAGCTTTTTTATGTTTGGTAAACATTCAGCTTCAGCTTTTTTTTCACAGTTTTGGGTGAAAAAAAGCCAAAAACACAAAGTTACAAAACTCAGCTTTGAAAAACCAACTTTTTTTCACATCTGTTTTACATAAAAATTTATCAAACACTATAATATTGCTTTTTTTTTTTTTTTCAAAAGCACTTTTACAAAAAAGTTTACTAAACACTTTGTTGCTTTATTTTACAGCTACTTATTCTCACAGCACAATAGAAGTAGTTTTTTTTTTCAAAGCATAGCAATACCAAACCAGCCTTTAGTCTAGACTAATCTTAGCTAGTCTCATTAACATTAGTCCCGTGGAACAACAAACACATGACTAGACTAATAGTTAGTCCAGTCTAGTCTAGTGAGGGCTCATGAGGGTAACAAACGCCCTCTAATAGTAAAACTTGAAAAAAAAAAAAAAAAAGCTTTTTAGGATTCATTTGCATTTTTTTCCAAGAATTGGTTTTAAAAACAATCCACAAAAAACGCTTCAATCATTTTTAAAAAACTTTCAAACGAGCCCTTAAACTTTCAAGTGAATCCTAAAGTGTTTCAAACTATTTTAAATACACTTCCAAATTAATCCTAAAATATGCGTAAAAATCACCTCCTTTACAACTGATGTTAATTAGTCAAGAACGACGCCGTTTTATTGTTAGTCTCCTTTCGTCCGTCGTACTCCCTACTCTACGCTGGCTCGATCTCTTCGCAGCAACCCCCGGTTTTTTCAGACTCTCAGTCGGAATCGAATTCCATCGTCTCAGATTTCCCCAAACGCCCTGATTCCGAACGGACCAATTCCAAAGTGATCCGAATTCCCTGTTTTTGGGCGTTGCTAAAACCGGCCGCCGTCGCAATTTTCAACGCTATTCCGGAATTACCCCTGCGCCGTCGAAGAAGACCTTGATTTCTTCCCATTATTGAATCCCTAACGTCGTCGTTTCTCCGGTACAATCCTCAATTTCGATCGCAATGTAAGTACGGCGTCGTTCCGGAATCGTGAATTTTCTCTTCGGGAAATTTTCTCGGCTGCCAAACAGTGGCGATCGTACACTGCAGATGTGTTTGTGTTTTGCTGAAGTCTGTTTCTTTGTGCAGGTCGCAGGAGGAGATTGCGACGGAAGCGATAAAGCATGCTCTGAAGGCTCTGCGGAGGCGGCATTTGGTGGAAGAAGGTGCTCATGCTCCAGCTATCATCGCTCTTTCGAAGCCAATTCTTCATCAGGTAGTCTCTTAGTCTCTAACAAAACTGTGATTTATGGTTCTGATTTTTGGGAAATTTTGTTTGAATTTGAAATATTTGATCCCCGAGTTCGCAAGCAGAATAATTTTCGGTTGATTGAAGTAATTGATGTAATTACTATTTTGGGGAAGATTTTGATGCTTGATTAACTTGTTGTGGCGTTTAGTTTGCGAATTATCGGTTTCTTGTGTGATTGGAATGGTTTATAGTTGTAGCTTCCTTTGGGTTTGAATTGTTTAGAACTTAGAGATTGCGTTACTTTTGGTTGTCTTTTAAGGGCTCAGAATGGAAGGAGAAAGCGGAGAATCTGGAAATGGAACTGCAGCAGTGTTACAAAGCTCAATCGCGGTTGTCCGAGCAACTCGTGGTGGAAGTAGCAGAGTGCAGAGCTTCAAAAGCTTCACTTCAAGAGAAAGAAGCTGCAGTGGCTGATCTTCAGAAGGAGTTAACTGAAAAAAGGTTGAAGTTTTTTTTTACTAGTAATGGAAAAGCAGACGCTTTTTGAGATTTCAAGGTTCTCGATGACTGATTTCAATGAGTACATGTTGTAGGGATGAATGCTCTCAGTTAGCGGCTGACTTGGAAGAGAAGATTAAAGCTTTAGAATTGGTTGTGAATGAGAACAAGGAAATAAGAGCACAGCTAGAAGCAATGTCTATTAGAGCTAGGAACGCTGAGACTGAAAGTAAGGTGTTAATTGACCGCTGGATGTTGGAAAAGATGAAGGATGCAGAACGCCTTAATGAGGTACTTTATATGTTCTATAATCAAACTTAAATATTGTGGTGCACTCATTTAGTTTAGTCGATGGTTCTAGATGTTAATGGGTTTAAGGTGTGATGCGAGACATAGCATGTTTTCTAGTTGTTAATGGATTTAAGGTTTGCCACTTTCACAAGTGTTTGGTAAATGGTAGAAAAACCTAAATGGAAACAATGCTATATATTAATTTGGATCTCGTTTGACATGCCACATGGGATTTTCCGTTTTCTTTCTTGCACTTAAACTATTATTTAACTTGGACATAAAACATTAGAAAGTATATGGGATACCCGGATAAGATTTGAAATCTCATTTAAGTTGTTGCAAGGACTGCCTTTTTCTCCAGTATACGATAGGATTCAATTTCTTCATTTGTTGAAAGAAATATTTCTTTTGTACATTTTTTACCGGTTGTACATATGGGGTCTATGTTTTAACCCATGTGTTCTTTATTTAATTTAGGCAAATGCACTCTATGAAGATATGATTGAGCGGCTCAGGGCCAGTGGTTTAGAAAAACTTGCTAGGCAGCAGGTAGATGGTGTTGTCCGCCAAAGTGAAGAAGGTGCTGAGTACTATGTGGAGTCAACCATTCCCTCTGCATGCAAGAATAGGATCCCTGCCCATGAAGGAGGTTGTGCATCCATATTATTTGAGTACAATTCTGGCAGATTGATTACTGGTGGACAGGATGGGTCCATTAAAATGTGGGATACAAATAATGGGTCACTAACTCATACACTTCACGGTTGCATTGGTTCTGTTCTGGACCTCACGATTACCCATGACAATAAATCTATCATTGCAGCAAGCAGCTCAAACAAATTGTATGCCTGGGATGTTAGCTCAGGGAGGGTTCGCCACACGCTCACTGGCCACGTGGATAAAGTGTGTGCTGTAGATGTCAGCAAATTCTCAAGTCGTCATGTTGTGAGTGCAGCTTATGATCGTACCATAAAAGTTTGGGATTTGCAGAAAGGTTACTGCACCAATACAATCATGCACCCAAAAAATTGCAATGCTTTGTCATTTAGCATGGATGGACAGACCATATGTTCAGGCCATGTTGATGGAAATCTTCGTTTGTGGGATATTGAGAAAGGAAAGCTACTCAGTGAAGTAGCTGCACATTCAAATGCTGTGACATCTATATCTTTGTCCCGAGATGGCAATGTTATACTGACCAGTGGAAGAGACAATGTGCATAATTTGTTTGATATGCGGTCTCTGGAAGTCCGCCGTACATTAAGAGCCACTGGAAACAGAGTAGCGTCGAATTGGAGCCGATCCTGTATCAGTCCAGATGACAATTACGTTGCTGCTGGATCTGCTGACGGTTCTGTGTATATTTGGTCAATATCGAAAGCTGACATTGTGAGCACTCTGAAGGAGCACACTGCATCTGTCCTGTGTTGTTCATGGAGCGGGCATGGAAAACCTCTAGCTTCTGCGGACAAGAACGGAATCATCTGTACTTGGACGTGACGGATTTGGCCGATTCCCTTTGTTCTTGTTTCCACAAGACACACGTATACATAATGTACACAAGTTCGATTAGATTTGGTGTAAATAATGATTCAACTCGAATTGTAGCGTGCCTGCATTCGTCTATACTTCTCATCCAAATATTTTGACTAAATTTTATTCATTGCTTTGGCTATTGTTGATTCCTTGTATTTTCTTAACTATCATATATTGTTACGTTGTTACAGAATACGGAGAAAATTTGGCTTAGCATGTTAACCATAACGCCAACTTGTTTGGGATGCTTTTAAGAATGGTTAAAAACGCTTTCAGACTACATTACATCGTTTCATAGAAATTTTGAAAGTGAATGTTTGATCGTAAAGGGCATTTTTTAGTTCATTCTAGAGAAGCACCTACTTCAGGCTCTTTGGGCAGTGTAGAAAGCACTTTTGTTCACAAGTGCTTATGCTAAAAGTGATTCATGAAGAAGCATTTAAAAGTGCTTCTTCAAAAAGTAAAAATGGGCCAAATAGCATTTGTCAATCGGCCCAGCAAAGACACTAGGAGAGTAGCATCAGTGGCTCTGTCTCTCTCTCTCTCTCTCTCTCTCTCTCTATCGCTCACCTGAAACCTAAAACGGAGATTTGTAAGCAGAAAAGGAGAAGGCGAAGAAGATGGTGAAGGTGGCAACCTACTTCGCTATGACTTTGGGAGCTTTTGTGTTCTGGCAATCCATGGATAAAGTCCACGTCTGGATCGCTCTGCATCAGGACGAAAAGGTAAAAATCTCTTCTTTCTCTTGGCCTGCAGAAGCAATTTCTCTTTCGTATTGGACTTAAAAATTGGGCGATTCACAATTTTTTTTTTTTTTTTTAAGAATTCGATCGAATTTCAGCACCACAAGCTCAGAATTGAGATGGGTTCTCATTGAACTGTTCAATTATGGCGGAAAATCCGATTTTTAGGAAATTGGCATGAAACTTTGTGGTTAGGTTAGAGGGAATGCAATGTTTGGTTGCAGGGAATTGGGGAACATAATTGAACTCGGAATTTCGCTGTATTTGTTGTTGCTATGCTATATTATTATGATAAAGTGGACTCCTGTGTAGAATTCAACCTTCCGTAAGTTCTAGACGTTTCGTATACTGGAATTTCTTATTTGGAGCTCTTTTTCTGTGATAGATGCAATACAGTCTTTGTTATAGCCGTTTTGTAGCTGAGGGAAGCATAAATGCAATGTTTGGATACTGGGGATTGGGGAACATAATTGAACTTGGAAATTCACTGTTATTGTTGTTGTTATGCTATATTTTTGTGATAAAGTGGCACTTCTGTGTAGAATTCAACCTTTCATAAGTTATAGACATTTCGTATCGTGGGCTTTCTTATTTGGAGTTATTCTTTGCGTGACAAATGCAGTGTAGTCAATGATATATTCGTTTCGCATCCTAGGGAAGCTTAAATGCAATGCTTGGTTACTGAGAACTGGGGAACATATTGGGACTTGGAATTTGACTCAGTCATGGTTATTATGTTATATTTCTGTGATCGGCAATGCTCCTGTGTAGAATTAAACCTTTCATAAGTTATAGTCGTTTCTTATCATAGATTTCTTATTGCAGCCCTTCTTCCATGTTGAACAATTGGGTTGTGTTTTCGTAATACGTTGCCTATTAGCATGACTAGTTGTGTTGCTTCTCTTTCGTTTCCCTCCATTAGATGCGGGTTCCATATTACCTTCCCATAATTTAAGTAGGAAGCACAAATTTGTTGAAACCAAGAAACTAGTACTTTAGTTCTGAATTACATGTTCAAAGGATAGCAGGATGCTTGGTCCAAAACCTAGATTTTTGAAATCTTGGTAGTAATAGTTGGCTGCTCGTAACATGGTTGTAAAAGAAAGCTATTTTGTTGTGCTTACCCTTTAAATGTGCCTTGTTAGTTGACCTTCTCCGTGTATTAGCCATTATGTTTTGGTATTGATACCGTTCAAAGTTTGGAATGATATTGATTGGGGTCTCGTTAATGTGGCAGCAAGAAAGACTCGAAAGGGAAATGGAGATTAAGAGAGTGAGAGAAGAGATGCTGCGGGAGCAGGCCAAATTAAGGGAGACTCAAGCATGAGCGACTCGGATTGATCTTCTTGTACGTTTGTATTCCATTGTTTCCCCTACTTCTGATTTTGTCTGAGCATTGCTCTCTTGAACACAATCACAATTCTAGAATAATTTTACTTGGCATTCACAGAATAGCTAAGGTCTGTCTTATGGCTTACTTTATATAAAGCTTTCGAAAATTACATGTCGTGTTTTTCAATGTTTAGTGAAACTTTGAAATGGCGATTATCATCTGTCGAAGCACGGTGAGGAATGCATTATCTAGTATTGTTCATATATTTCCTTATCTAGATGTATAAATCGTCATCTCATCTGCTGACTTGGTTAACATGCGAGCTGTATATCTCTAGACCTGAACTTATATTCACTTTTACACCAGTATCCGCGGCACATTTGCAACGGCATAAAGTCCTCGGGCCATCCTCGTCGTGAGGTCATGCCATCGGGATTTTGGGTGGTTAGATTTAAGATCGGTTGTCTCTCTGGTGCTAGTGTATAGATGACATGAAGCATATACCCAACAGCTTTTGGCTTCTGCAGCTAACAGCTTTTGGAATATTGTTCATCACAAAGATTTTTCTTTTTCCACTTAATCGACTTTTATTTTCATTTTCCTATTTCCTTACAAAAGGAACTAAAATTGAAGATCTACTTATCTTTGGCGACGTGAACTAAATGTGTTAAAATTCTTAATTTCCTGTCTACTAAACGTATAAAAATCAAGAGAAAGTGTGAGTTCCTATCTTAGTCTCTAATCACATACTTAAAAAAAGCAAAAGTCAGATCTACTAGGCGCTAAGTTAATCTTATTCTGTTATCCTCGTAAACATGCCAAAAATATAGTTATGCGTCGCAATACGATACATACTACTAAAACATTGTTACATGTCACATCATTTGACGTTTAAAATTTGAGAGATTCTTAATCCATTTGACATTAATCAAGGTTGTTTCTAAAGAATTTTTGTGTCCAAAAAGGGAGGCATCCACGCTTTTTCTTGATGAGAAAAACCTCGCTCACTTTCTCTACACGTAGAAGTGACTAGTTACCAAAACACTACGCTAGTGTTTAGTCAAGTCCTACAAGCGATGTTTTACATCCTTTTGGTTGCTTTGGCATCAAGTAATGAAGAATTTCATGTACGAGGCTAGTCTTTTGGTTTTCACGACCTCCAACTCATTCTCGTATGTCGAAATTTTGAAAGGAAATTGTTTTTTACTATTCAAAATAATCAGTGTACACTTCTCGAAACGCCATTTCTTTCTTATGTTTCTCATGAGAAGGAATGCACAACAAGATGTTTCACTGTCACAATTGTTCTTCCCAATGAAAAATTATAGTTCTATAAGTTGTTCCGCTAATAAAGTAGAAACCGAATGCCGCTAAACCAAATGATCATTTATTACTTTTTCGCCTATATTAGAAGTAATCTACAACAAGGGATTATGTTGATCAAAACGCAAGGCTTGCCATCACCAATTGAAAAGGCATTAATTAACTATGTGACGATCAAAACTTAAGTCACTTTGCTGAGTATGATCAGTTAAAGATAAAAAGCAGTTACCATAGAAGCACTTTTCTTCCACTTGCCAAAATCGTGGCTAAGACACTCCACCTACGTAACCATGCTCCTCTCTCTCTCTCTCTCTCTCTCTCTCTCTGGTGATGGTAAAACGTGTTCGCCATGTATTCAAACCCTAATATCCAAAAGCACACCAGCTTTTATTGCTAACTGCTAATAAATACCAGCATTCTTGCTTTCTTTTCTAGAAGTTCCACACCAAAATATGAACCCACACTCACTAATCCAATCCAATCCATTGCTTCCACAAACAAACCAAATCCCATTTCCCACACAATCATCACATCCCATATTTTCTGTCGGTTATTTAAAGTTGTTCGTCTCCACAAGATACCCCATAACTTACTCTCTTTGTTATCCATTCTTTGATCCTCTATATCCGGCAGTGTCGAGGTCTTCGTATTCTCATCCTGTGTCGAAACTTGAACCCTAAGCCGGTAGAAAAATGACTAAGTTTGTTTGGGTTGCGCTTGCTCTCTCGCTCGCTTTGGTTATGGGGTTTTCTGAGAGTTTCGATTACCACGAGAAGGACTTGGCCTCGGAGGAGAGCTTGTGGGGTTTGTACGAGAGGTGGAGGAGCCATCACACGGTTTCTAGGAGCCTCGACGAGAAGAACAAGCGGTTCAATGTGTTTAAGGAGAATGTCAAGCATGTTCACAACACTAACAAAGGTGATAAGCCTTACAAGCTGAAGCTTAACAAGTTTGCTGACATGACCAACCATGAGTTCAGGAGTGTTTACGCTGGTTCGAAGGTTAAGCACCATAGAATGTTCCAAGGGCAGCGCGCTGACACAGGCTTTCGGTATGGAAATGTTGGGAGTGTCCCGCCATCTGTTGATTGGAGAAAGAATGGAGCTGTCACTCCCGTTAAGGATCAAGGCCATTGTGGTAAGCAAAATTTGCTAAATCCTTCCTCGTTTTGTTTCATTTTCTTTCTACAAAATGGTATCTGTATCGATTGTTTCAACTATATTCCTTTGTTTCGATGAAATTATACAGGTAGTTGCTGGGCATTTTCAACTGTTGTAGCTGTTGAGGGCATCAATCAAATTAAGACAAAAAATCTGGTTTCGTTGTCTGAACAAGAGTTGGTTGATTGTGACACGGAACAAAACCAAGGATGCAATGGAGGCCTAATGGAACTGGCAATGGAGTTCATCAAACAAAGGGGAGGCCTGACAGCTGAAATTAATTACCCTTACCGAGCAGCAGATTCAACATGTAATGTTGCAAAGGTAATTAATTTTGTTCCCATACATTTCAGGGATATATCTTCAATCCCTTTTCGACACCCCTCGCTTATGAATGTGAGATTGTAAGGTTATAACCGATACTTGTTTTACAGGAAAACGCCCCGGTAGTGTCCATTGATGGCCATGAGAGTGTGCCTGCTAATGACGAGGATGCATTGCTCAAAGCAGCTGCAAACCAACCTATTTCTGTCGCCATCGATGCTGGAGGTTCCGATTTCCAATTCTACCATGAGGTAAAGTTTATAATATCCATTCGCCTTAGCTAATAACAATTGGAGAAAAATGAAAGGTCGAGGATCATATCTTAATCTCCTGGACTACGATTTACAGGGGGTATTTGACGGAAATTGCAGCACAGAGCTTAATCACGGAGTAGCAGTTGTTGGCTACGGAACAACACTTGACGGAACCAAGTATTGGATAGTAAAGAACTCATGGGGACCCGAGTGGGGAGAGAAGGGTTACATAAGGATGCAGCGCGGCGTCTCTGCTAAGGAAGGGATATGCGGAATAGCGATGGAGGCTTCGTATCCCGTCAAGAACTCATCGACAACCCCCCAAGCAGCACCTGCCTCAAATCCCAAGGATGAACTCTAAACAAAATCCAACATTTGACACTAGCTTTCGCTGATGCTGCTTCTGTTATAAAAAGTTGCATCACTCATGGCCTCACGGCCAAATAATATTTGTCTCCTAGGTTTGAATCATTCATGTATTTTCTAAAGATCTGGAAATTTCCTCAATTCACTAGTAGTAATATTATCAAGGCAAGTAGGAAAATTAAACCCGAAAACTCGTACAAAAGAAGCTTCGACATATAAAAACATGACGCCAAATGTACATAAACGATATGGGTACATTAGTGCCACATGATACTATTAGATGCGACAGTGTTTCATGCGTACAATATCAGTTCCACTCCGAACATCATTTATTTAAGCTACGGCAGATATTAACGCACCATATGTTATCGTTGGTGACTACGATATAGGAATATTTTTAATCATATGGCATCAAATGCATGCATAACTTATCAACCGTAGCATCTGATAGGATCAGTGCAACCCTTCTCGGCAGATTGTTTGTTGCCCTTACCTCCTCCTTTTTCGAGATATTGTTGATGGTATTCCTCCGCCCTGTAAAATTTCTTTGCCGGGAGGATCTCCGTCACCACCTTCTTATCCTTCAACTCCGCCTGCTTAGCTTCCTTCGATTCCTCGGCCAGCCGAGCCTGGTTTTCGTTGTAGTAGTAGATTCCGGATCGGTATTGTGCGCCAACATCTCCTCCCTAATGCATAAATAAATAACAATCATGGACAAGTAGTTAACCCAAAAGGAAACATATATAGGAGTATGCCATATTTGTCAAGGTAGTACAACTCGAGAACAGACGATGATTGGCTATTCAAGAATGAGTACGAACTTGACTCACAACTCTTTGTGTTCAAATCACAGAGTTTTGTACTTATGATTAGAACTGTTCATTTTATGAACCATTCTGTAAATATCATCTTTGCAAAAAATGATCAAACGGTTTTTTTTTTGCAGAAGCGATCTTTATAGAATGATTTGTAATATGAACGGTTGTAATAAAAAATGCAGAAAGAGTAGTTAGTATTTCAGAAATTACTAATAAAAAACACAGAAAGAGTTCACAATATAGTGAAATCTGACCTTAGTTAATATAGTACCCTTTCTTTTTAAAAAAACCCATTCTTTTTACTAATATGAACTGTTCTAATAAAAAATGCAAAAAAGTAGTTAGTAATTTGTAATATGAACGATTCTAATAAATTCGTTCCATCACATATTTCAGAACATTTCACGATGTAGTACCCTTTCTTTTTACAAGGGATGTTAAGGGAATCTGAAATCTAAACAATAACAGTGAAATGTTCTTTACCAACTGAGGTACAACCTCAATACTAACTACTCTTTCTCTTTTTGTTTAATGTCCTTGTAGTTTTATTTTGGATCAAAAGTTCCTAACTCGTATTATTTGCTTACACTTGCCTAATTTTTCCCCTAAAATCACAAACTTAGCTGAAATTTGGCAATCATTAAGGCTCATTTAAAAGTATTTTTAAAATAACTGAAACCACACTTGATGAAATTATTTTTAGAATTCAAAATCACTTGAAGTACTTTTTTGAAGAAATTCTAATTATATACTCTTTATGAGAAGTGTTTTAATTGTTTTTTAAAATTTACTTACATTTTTACTAAATATTAATTTTAAAAACATTTTTATCATAATGTTTTCAATTATTTTGAAAGCAACATCAAACTAGTCTTACGATATTGGGGCAAAAAAGGAAAATAAAATTGTTGTTGTTTTACTTTTGGCTTTGAGGGCCAGAGATTAAAATTCAAAAGAAATGATAAGTACAAAAGTAAAACTTCATTCGTAGAAGGCGCGAACAAGAAACTGGATTTGGCTACAAAATCAACGGCCCGTAAAACTCAAAAACCAATTACCTGGCGATTGAGCGTCGTTGGATCATGACGATCCCAAAACACAGAGAGCAGATCCTTGTAGGGGCAGACTTCCGGGTCAAACTGGACCCGAACCACCTCCGCGTGGTTCGTGGTTCCGGTGCACACCAATTTGTAATTGGGATCGTCCGCGTGGCCCTGGGAGTACCCGACCTCGGTCTTCACCACCCCTACCACTCGCTGGAACCTCAGCTCCGCTCCCCAGAAGCACCCGGATCCGAACTGAGCGAACTCGTGACCCGGATTGTCCGGAGTATCCGAGTCCGGGCCCAGAGCCGGGTTGTTGACAGCGGAATTGTCTGAAGCGGCGGCCATTATTCTTGCTGATTGAATTTTGTGGAGGAGTGGGAGGAGTGGATGGACTGTTATGAAGAGGTGTGATAGTTGAATCTAGCAGCCATAGCCGGCCAGATACAGACGTTGCTAAGTGCTAACACGTCGGTTTTCAACTTTCTACAGTACATTGGCTGTTAATGCTACCCACCCACTTATTTTTATTTCTTAAACATCATTATTAATTTTCATTCATTAAATAAAATGAATTAAAAATTATTAATAACTGACAATTAACAAAATATATACGGAAAAATAAAGGTGAATAGCATTATGTATTTATTATTGTTTTAATTAAAAAAGCATTGCACAATAAAAGTGACATCGGTGGACGTACCGGAGTGGTTATCGGGCATGACTAGAAATCAGCTGGGCTTGCCGGCAGAGGTTGGAATCCTGTCGTTCACGTTTTTACACTTTCAAATTAATACTTTTTTTTCCTTTTTTGTTGGTGTACCAAGGAGGTTCAAACTTAACGGGAAAAAAAAAAAAAAAAAAAAAAAAAAAAGAGAGGAGGTTCAAACTTAAAGTGCAAACGAGGAAACAGGAAGCTGGCCTTGACTCCATAAAGTACTAATCTTTTTTATGTGACTTGAGCAGTATTATTTTTGTGATGACTTGAGAGTGAGAGTTCACTTACAGGTTGCCCGTAAGATTCGATCATTTAAACCTAATGAGGGGTAAGAATCTACTAGCCAATACTCTAGAGGTGAAGTTAGCGTATGTTGTATGACCATGGCAATCGACAATCGACAATCTCGCTATTTTACCATGCGTGGTAGGACTAGTGGATCTTATGGACCGGTAAAGATACTGTGATACCCTAAAGCCTTTACAAATGTTGAGTGAGCACATGAGTTTATGGTTATACCTTGTTTATGTATATCTACTCTCTCTAAAACTATCGAGTTGTGACACTTAATACTACGGTATAGTACTATTCCTCTTTATGAAGTAAGAGATTTAAGTTGGATTTTTGGAGGCAAATTTTGGGTAGATTCTTTACAACCAAGTGGAAGTGGGTTGGTGCCACCGGACCAACCGCTCATGGTTGCAAAAGTTGGAGACTTTATTAATTTGAACTTTGAAGAGATTTCAAACGGCGTCAATGGCGTCCTGTCATACCTTAGCTACATTATCTTTTATAAACCCGTTGCCATCTCACAAAAACACAACCCCCATTGCCAACCTCAAATCCCAAGAAAGGACCTTACAATCTTCACTGGTGGGCAGAGCAATAATCATTGGTAAAACAATGAGCAGCAAGATTGGAACAACATCTAGCTCTGCTTCTGCTTCATCTACTCTTCCTTCTGCTCTTCTCTTCGATTGCGATGGTGTGCTTGTCGACACGGAGAAGGACGGTCACCGGATTTCTTTCAACAACACTTTCAAAGAGGTAATTTTTCACACTGGGTTTTCTTGCTTTTGGTCGATTGCTGTGAATTTTTTTATTTGTAAGCTCATAAAGTGATGAACTTTCAAGAGAAGTTGGAATTTTCGATCTGGGTTTTGTCGCTTTTGGAGAAATTAATTAGCTTTTGGTAAAGCCTTATACTTTGATGGGAATTATTTGCAGAAGTCGATAACTTTCATGGGTTAATTAGTTTAGTGACACTGCATAATTTGATCGTACAGAAAGAATTGGGTGTTACTTGGGATGTCGATTTATTCGGTGAATTGCTTAAGATTGCAGGTGGAAAAGAAAGGTAATTGCCTCTCAAAATATTCTATTGCTATTGCACTTGGCCAACATCTAATTTAGTTGCAGAACTTGAATTATATTTGTCTTCAAATGGTTGTGGTCTTTGTAGAATGACAACCTATTTTAACAACACGGGTTGGCCGGAAAATGCTCCGAAGAGTGAAGAAGAAAGAAAAGCATTCGTAGTTTCACTTCACAAGCGAAAGACAGAGTTGTTCTTGGCCCTTATTGAGAAAAAGTCACTGCCGCTTCGGCCAGGGGTTGCAAAGTTGGTTACCATATGATCTTCTGCTTTTTCATAAGTTTTTGTGTTGTAGTTCTCTTGTATTTTCTGGTTTAAAGACTCGGAAGTAATGAATTATGTTAGCTCTGAAACTTGCTAGTCTTCACTAACAATATTAGTCAGTCTTTGAAGCAAAATAACACCTAGCTGCATTCCAGTCCAAGAAGTACGCGTGTTGTTATGGTCACGCATTTATTTACATCAGGCATTAAGGACATTAATTTGATAAGAAAATGGATTTTAGAAAAATCAATCACTTAAGAATCTTTAGCACTTGGCTTTTAAATTTTTATGAATATTGTTATGCGTATACTAACGAGATATCGTATAAGTAGGTGGTGTAAGATTATCTAAATGTCTTTTCAAATTTCAGATGTTGGGTTGGTGAATTTCTGTTATCAACTTGTAAAGGCTGATAGATGAGGCTTTAGCAGAAGGAGTTAAGGTTGCCGTCTGCAGCGCCTCCAATGAGAAGGCGGTATGCTTAATCAGGTTCCCCGGCTTAATTTCTTGTGTAATTAGTTTTTTTGTGACAATAATCTCCTCCATCTGGGTTTTATGCAAGAGCTGTGCAAGAAATCATAGTCAAACACTTACACAGTTCTGAATCTATTGTGTGCGGGTGAGATTGACATTGTCTGTTAATAGAACTGAAAATTGAAAATGCGGAATAAAGACAAGTGATCATAATCTTGTAACAATATATTTCTTACTATATCAGATACATATTGATTTATTTCTGATAGATAGCTGACCTCCCATTTTGACGTAAGAACCCCATTTTCGTTTCAAGGTTTCTGCAATAGTTTCAATCTTGCTGGGACCAGAACGGGCAGAAAAAATCAAGATATTTGCTGGAGAAGTGGTTCCTCGCAAGAAGCCTGATCCCGTAAATTTTGATCCCTCCAGATGTTGGTTCCATGTTGTTTTGAATGAAATATCCTATTTGATTTTACAAGACACTAACATCTTTTCATGTTTCTGACAGGCTATCTATTTATTGGCTGCTAACACTCTCGGCGTTGATCCTTCAAGGTATATTACACCATTTACAGGGCAAGAAGGGCCAACTTATTTCTGTTCGTAATGGGATTGTATTTGAACTTTACTCCTCTAAGTGAAGTCAAGAGATCTATTTGCATCTGCTGCCCCATGTTTCTAGGATATCCAACTCTCGTGCTTAAAGCGCGCCTTCTGTTCATAACAAATAATACTGTCTTTTCCTTCTCTGCAGTTGTGTAGTAATTGAGGACAGTGCTATAGGCCTTGCAGCGGCCAAAGCTGCTGGAATGAAGTGTGTCATAACCAAGAGCGGGTAACTTACTTTCACTGCATGAACAAAAATAGAGTGCTTGCCTATTTCCCACCTTCTTGGTATTCCAGATTATATTTTGTGTGCCGATGCTTATGAGTTGAGTGAAACTCAATGTTTTCTAGCCAATCAAATGTTTAACATGTTTGCTTCATCTCGTAATCTCTGGTTTCAGATACACAGTTGATGAAGATTTTCAGAATGCGGATGCAGTTTTTGACGTCATCGGAGATCCTCCAGAGGAGCGATTTGACTTGGCATTCTGCAGAAGCCTTCTCAAGCAATCTGTGAGCTAGCCTATACATTCAGTTTCCGACAGGTTAATTTCATTCAATGCCTGTCTTCAATCTACAATCTTTGGATGGTGATTACTGATTAGGGTTTCAGCTAAGATAATAAAAGAGTGCTAGCGTGCATTTGGTAGTAGTCCGGATCTATAAGTACAAACCGGCTCTTCTCAAGCAAACTATGCTTTTGTTTGTGAATCTCTCGATGGGGAATTATTACAATTAATCATGATTACCGTTTGATGAATATTTTCACAAAGAGAAATTAATCATAATATAGTTGTGCTACTCTACTTTCGATATTGAGACACAACTCATTCGAACCTATAAATCACATACCATTTTACAAATATTGTACAACGGAATTTAGATTTTTGGTTGTAAGAGTGTTGTACAGAAGTGCAGAAGTAACAGAAGCACTGGCCATCACTTGAAGCTTTACTACCTCACTTTTCACTTCTCATTCTGTTAATTTGGTTCAAAGCTGGCCCAAGGATGTTGTAAAGCACCCAAAGTATAGCAGGAATAATCGGAATTAGGAGTGCGAGGACACGCTTGTCACCTTCTCCAGTCACCGCAGCCACTTCTGCAGCGAACGCAGAATCACAGGAAATCATGGTGGAAACAACGGCGGTGATGATGGAAGTAGCATGCTTGGTGTTGAGAGGAGAGTTGAAGGAAGTGTTTCTTTTCGGTTGATATTTGATGGAGGAACAGGAAACAATTTTCATGGTTGGTTTGTAAGTGATCATGTTTTTGGAGGACTTGTAGGTGAAGCATCTGTGACCAAGCGCAGCCATGGAAGTTCCAATCGTTGCAGCCATACAAGCTTTTTAGGTTTGGAGACTCCGAAAGGAGAACTTATGGTATATAAACTGGTTGCTATAGCATTTCCTAGAATCCAGATTCTTCTACACAAAGATCAATGAGATTTATTGAAGATTCTCGTATTTTAGCGTATGTGTTTCGGTATTTTCATATGACATTACGTGATTGATTCAAACACCACTTCCTTAACGTCTCATTTCACGTATGCACTTTGTACCGTTAGTTGAAACTAGTGGTGGAAAACCAATTGTCTGGATACCTCCACTGTTTGCAACCTTCACCATCAAACTGTCGTATTGTACTTTTCCACGTGACCATCCCAAAACAAAAATTTCTTTACAAAACAACAAATTTTGTTCCAATCAATATGCACTTGCCATGCCCGGTACAGGGCGTGACAGCACTACAACCCTCCCATCAAATGTAAGAAATTGAAGGATCTCTTTGTTCGAAGCCAATAGATTCGAAGACTCAAGCCGTTCAAAAGAAAGATCTGGGCCATTCAAGGACTTGATTTTATGTAAGGTGGGACAATGAAATTAGTTAATGAGAGCCGCAAGATTTAAAGATTTAAATTGAATAGTCCAGATTCATAAGATAAATTATGACCATAATGTTTTTCGCTTATAATAATCGAGATATTAAAGGCCACTCAACCACTTCATTATGTATTACATGCCTTAATAGTTAATCCTACTTAAAGTTTTTCATTTTTGAGTGCCAATGCCTAAAATGTTTTGAGAATCAATGCTTTTTAAATACTTGAAGCCTTCTCTTATGCACGCTTCAAAGCTAATTTGTGATACGCAAAGTAACATAGGCATCATTTTCAAACTTGTATTGTGATACCAAATACATTTTGCAATTTTGTAACACACAACACCAACACACAATGAACAACTCACATTCCAAATATGAAATTGTTCACCCTAAAAACTACCAAGCCTACGTGGCACGCAGGCAAAGTAATCAATAAAGCTAACTACGTCCTTCAGCTATGTGCGGGGCATGCCAACTCGTCTGCCGAGCTCGGCCGGGGAGTAAAATGTGTTGATGTTGTGTTGAGCACGTTGCTGACTTCTTAATTTTGCGACTGCGGCTGAGGAAGGAACACATTACAGCCTTTGGGTTCTAGAGCCTGAAGACAAGGCTGCTAGTCTTGCGAAGTTCATGGATCATAGGCACCAGGTTCGATCACGATGATTATATTCGTAAGAGTATAAGCACGCCGAACTGACACCAAACTATACGGACACAAGTACTCAAAAGAGATGTATGCCTTAATGGTAAATGTGGTTCAGCCATCAGAATGCCAAACTCTAAAACTTACTTGTGAATATCCAATCATAAAATAACTCGGCGTTCAATGCGCCGAGCCTAGTAATCTGTAACATCTCACTTCGCCGAGCAGGCTAATGAGATGAGCTTTGCCAATAAAGATTCGAAAATCCTTCTCGACCGAGACTTGGATAGATAACCAGTCGGCCTCAACGCAGTGCTGTTTATCCAAACTGAAGGTGCTCCGCGGTCCGTTGATTCTATGGCAACAGTGTTGTTTATCCAAACTAAAGATGTTACGGGTTGCCTTCACAATGCTGTTTATCCAAATTGAAGATGCATTGGCGGAAAAAGAAAATAAAAATCTCAAGGTTATTGAGAGGTTTCGCGTAGAGCAAGAGTTTGCGCATAGCAGTTTATGTGTTGAATTGAAAAATACCCTCTTCTTGTTGCCATTGCCTCTGTATTTATAGGGACACGCCGACTTGATCCTTGAATATTGCACGAGATTTTTGGCATGGATCAGACTCAACCAAATGCATGGAGTTATCATGCAATTATCCAACCAATTTAAAATCTCCATCATTATCTCCTTTTCTCCTTATTTTGTCCATCATTATCCAAGTATTTGATGATCTCCACGTGCTGGAACCAAGGCATGCAAATAATTAGCATGCAAGTTTATCTCTTAGCCATGCATTTCAAACCAAAGCATCACGGCAATCCACTCATCTTTCCACCAAATCTGACCAGGTGCAATCATGCACTATCAAAAAGTTCAAACTTGATCCCATCTTTCCCATCCTTTCAAAGTCCAAGAGTTCCAATCTGATGCAATTTGTCCGACTAGATTCTTGGCATCCTGCCAAGGATATTCGAGGGTGCTCTTTATTCCACCATCCCTTTATAATTTTTTCCATGCATGCATAATAACCTTCAGTCGTCTAAGTGAACTCCAAATTCATTTGTTTACTAATTATCACCATACTTTAAATGGATAATAATCAATTTCCAGCATACCACTTGAATTTGTCAGTCAACCAAACTGATCACACCCACACATTCACATGCCAAACATCCAAAATCAACTTGAATTGTGCTACCATGTTTCCAACTTGGAGATACATATCTCATCTTAATTATCATTAAAAGATAATTATGATAAAAATCATAATATTATCCTTCAATAATAACAAAACGATCTTCACCCTTCGATCCAACGGTTGGGAGCTATGCTTACTCAACAGCCTTGATGGGCGATGATGTAATTTTGGGTCCAAATAGAAACACATTCATTAGTTTTTTTTTTCATACTGATTACTGTCACATATGGATGAACTTGTATATATATTTTAGATGCCCAAAATGAAATACCACCACAATCAGTTACACTGCATATGGATTGAGATTACCCTATGTATACACCACTAATCACACCACCAATCACTTCATGAAAACGCTAACTCAGACCATTCACTTCAGACCTCGTCAAATTGCTTTTGCATGTAAGTGTTGCTACGCTGGCCTCTTCTTTTGCTTGGTAAACTAAAAAAATTGATTTTGACATAAAGTTAGACATATTAGATAAATTAAACTGCATAAAACTAGTTAAATAACAACTGCTATTAATTTAAAACAAACACTAAAACCAATCATATTCTTAGTCGAAGCAACCCAAATGCAACTACAAGACCAATCCAACCAATCAACTACAATGACATATAACGTACGCCATTACCTTATGAAAGCTTATCATCATCCACAATTTCTTTCATGTACCCACTTTCTAGTATTCTACCATTTCTTCTTGTCTTGAACAAAACTATATATTTACACATTAAAAAAAATGGGTACTTTCTCGAAAAATATGTAAGAATGAGAGGACAGAAGCAAGATAAATAAATGGGAAGAAGATTTTGAAGGGTCGCAAGAAATTGGACAATGGCCATAAAATTAAACTCTTTAGTTCACTCCAATACCTAAGACTGAGACAACATGTGTTATACAGGTTGTGACCAATGTTAAAGTATAATCCGAGCATGATGCTTGTTCTAAATTTGGAATGAACTAAAGATTTTAAAGTAAGTTTAGAACAAGCATTGTGCTATTATGTTTTAACGCTGCTCACAACCTGCATAAAGTATGTGATGTCTACCTTCATACATTTCTTATTTTCTTAACAAAAACAACAAGCATGCCTTTGTTTGAAAATTCCCTCACGCACATTTTATTATACAAATGGGTGGCTGAGATTTAACTAAATACATTTTAGTTAACCTCAACCTTTTACACGTAAAAAAAATAAAAAATAAAAAAAAAATTGGGCGGATGAGCAAAGCTCTACCTTTTCTTGCTAGCCTCTTGCTAAATTTTGGACTTCCCTTGTGCGGCCAAACCGTAGGGTCGTACTTCTTTCCCTTTGTAATTAATGCTTAAAAAACTCATTAAAAAAAAACAAAGGAAAATTTGAAATAGGTCTAATTTTATAGGCCAACTTTTGAAATAGGTCTAATTTTTAGTGACTTTTGACTTTTGAAATGGGTTTAATTTTTAGTTACTTTGGACTCGTATCAAAAGACCCCTTAAAATAATACTTGAGTTTTAGCCACGAGAGAACCTTTTGAAAAACCATGGAACGCTTAAAACATAGTATTCACCTTAAGTGAAACAAAAGGCCTTAGCCAATTTTACGAACAACCCTCCAATCAAAATTGCATCAAATTATTGCTCTAAATATCCTAATGGTAGCTAAGTATCAAGACAAATGATAGTTTAAACATGATGATTAATAATTTAAAAGATACATGCATAATATCATAAGCAAATTAAAAAGAAATTACAAAATTCTTACTAGTACCCGTTTCATGTATGCACTTTGTTATTTGTGTCAAACACCCCCACCTTCGCCACTTAGTACTACGATCCAATGATATTCCTCTTCACTTGTAAGTAAGAGGTTTTAGGTTTAATTCTCGCTAAATGCGAGTTTGAACCACATTATTGCTAGCCCATTATGAAGCTAAGCACACCCCCTCTCTCCCTCCCTTTTAGTGTAAATAATATCGTTTATTCAAAAAAAAAAAAAAAAAAAAAGCACCCCCTTGAACCTTTGCCCGCATGATCATGTTGCCCGTATTGTGCGTATCAAACATTAATCGGAGAGGTAACCCAATCTCAACAAAATGAAAGAAAGAAACTAACAATGCATTCGACAAGAATTTTCTGCACTGAAAAATTGACTTATGATACAAAACTGAGATACAACGGAGCATCGGACCGGAAGATCAGCTCTACCCTCTAAATACAGAGGAAGGCTTCTCCTCGTTTTTTCGTAACTTCGTAAGTTAATACGGTTTTACAATTCTAAACCATGACTGAGGAAACCATACCTACCCCTTACACTTGCTTACAAAATACAAATTAATCTTGAAGAAGACTAGAGGACAGGCCTGCAGATGAACTTGATGCAGACACCGCTTTAAGCATGTTGGACTTGGCAGCATCCAGCAACGGGTCTGCCCGGAGGGCTTTGTCAAAGCAGAATTTGGCTTCCTCCCACTGACCCTCGGCAACAAATACGAGACCCAAGTTGTTAAATGCGGGAGCATAGCCAGGCTGGAGCTCTAGAGACTTTGTAAACATTGCTTTGGCACGTTCGTGGTGCTTCTGCTGGCGGTAGAGATTTCCGAGGTTGGAGAATATAGTGTGGGCGTGTTTAGTTGTTGCCAATTCTAAAGCCCGCTTGTAAACTTCTTCAGCTTGCGATGGCTCATCTGATAGTTGCAGTGAGATACCTGGTGATGCATGTATTTGTTAATAGGTGAACACTTCACCAACTTCAGAGAGAGAAAGAGAGAGAGAGATAACTAAAAGTATTAAAAAGATACGAAAATGGGTCTTAAGATTGGACACACCTAGATTTGACCATGCATAGCTGCACTCTTTAAAACGGGCAACTGCAGCTTTGAGGTACTTTTGCGAGTTTTTGAATTGCCGAGTACATAAGCTATGGAGACCAAGCTGGTGCCATTGCACAGCATCATCTGGATCCTCTGCTACCGCCTACATAAGAACAACTTGCCTAAGTTGAAGTGCATTGTGAAGAACATGAATATGATTCTCCAAATAACATACAGAAAAATGAAGGGTGACATAAGACATAGGAAACTGAAAGATACGAATTTTCGGCGAGCTTTCTAAGTTCCATTATACATGATAACAAAGGCTCTTGTTTACTGCATAGTCAGATTGTGCACATGTGAACCGACAGGTTGTGCAAAGATGATATTAGAAGGAACAATTGTGATTACCTGCTTTAAACTATAATCAGCATGCTCTTCTACCTCCATTAAGGTATTCTGTTCAGCTTCAAATGCTGATGCGATCTCATGTTGGGCTTTGTGCACCATCGCAAGGCCTGCCCATGCTATGGGAAGTTCAACCGAGACAGAATCTCCATCTCTTATAATTGAAGCCATTTCATTTCCTGCCAAGGAAATTTGGTCACTAGGGTCTTGAAACCTTTCTGCATCCTTGATTCGGTGAACTGCAACAGCATATCGAGTAGACATACAACAATTGACCTCCAGTTTTGCCGCCTGAGGAGCATGCAATGATAAGAGAAAACAGCTCAAACTTGTCAGCGATTAAGGATGGAGTAGGAGGCATACCTGTCAAAGAAGCATGAAAACTTTGTCCTTTACAATAGCAAATGACCAGTACGCAACACAAGCATAATTAATGAGAGTATGCATAATAAGTTCTTCTTTTGTTTTTCTAAAAAGAAAGAAAAACATGCGAAGAAAAAGTTCTTGCATCATCATTTTCTACAAAATGAATATAAAAACCAAGAAAAAAAAAAACACCAATGAACAACCTCAAGAAATAAGCAATAAATTATTATAGCAATAAGCCACGAGCACCTTCTCCAAGCACTTGCTGGAATTTCTATGATCACCGGTCATATAATATGCATTAGCAAGATTAGCCCACACATGTGCTGCTTTAGGATCTTCTTTTAGTGATGCAAACAAACACTCCTTCGCGACATTGACAGCAGAAGTATGATCTGCAGAAGCACCTTCACCAGCATTTGCCCCAGCACCTGAGAATTAAACCAAAAGCAAGCTATTTCATGCAGGTTCTCCAACTAAACGTATTATAACAGCTTTCTGGCAAAATTTCACCAGTATTCACTATGATCTCAAAAAAGTTACATAATAGGTATTACTAAAAAGAAAATCGCTAGAGTCAAACTCATCAAAAGCATACCTGCAACAACCGAACCATATCTACATAAAAGGAGGGCAGCGTAATTAATTAAGGCCGCAGGATGATTTTGATCTTTGAGTATCAACTCCTGAAAACATTTTTCTGAAAGTTCCAAATTTCCACTGAAGAAAGACCATTTGCAAAGATTTCGAGTTAGAAAGGGATACAAGAGGTCATAACATTGAAGAGGGCATTATTGTATCTACACATATAGGCTCTTACTTTTGAAGGTAAGCAATCCCAAGGTTTCCAAGACAATCATAGTTGTCGGGGGCAACAGCTAACAGAGATGATAAAACTGCAATTGCACTCTAGAAAGTAAAAACAGTCATTTCAGAATATGTGAGGGTACGGAAAAGAAAGAGCAACCATAACCAACAATGGAATCAACAGACTTGTACCTGCAGACGACCAGTCTTAAGTAGTATCAAGCCGAGGGTATTCCACAGAGCTGCCTGTCTTACATCTGATTGCATTGATTCCTTTAGTTTGGAATTAATTTCGTCAAGCTCTTGAGGTTCAAGTTCTTTGTCGAAACTACCATCCCCCAAAGTTTCTAGCATAAGGCACTTGACAATTGATAAAAAAAAGACCAGCTGGATCAGCAAAGTTCATAACTACGTAAAAACACCAACCTAAAGCTACAATTTACCAAAAGATTAGTCCTCTACCTGCGCATGATGAATTTGAACTAGTGAAAGGAGCTCGCGCCTGTCGATCTCCGCATCAGGGCGGAGCAAAATCTCTTCCGCCTTCTCATATGCCAAAACTGCCTAAAACCCGGAACTCATTAGAACACGAAAACATCCACAGTAACATACTAGCCGTGTAATCCAACCAAAGAGTCAATATACAAGTATACTAATCCCACCTTCGAAGGCTGCCCCAACCTCTGATACATCAAACCCAGTATAAAATGAGCATGGGCATTTTTGGGCATCCGCCTCGCCACATGAACCAAACCCTACAACCACCAAAACCCAACAACCATTTCAAATTTTCAGTCAAAATTTCAATCGAATTTTCCAATTACAAGAAGCAGTGAATTAACACAACCGCCATTGAAATGGGTTCTCACAGTTTTGAGGCTGCTGACTTTTTCTTCACGAGACGACGAAATTCCTTGACCAGGAAGATACCCATCGGCAGCATCAGCTCCATCATCCATTGCACAGTCCACCTTGCAATTCCTCGACCTGCTTTTTCCCAGCTTGCTCAAGCGTTTGCCTTCGGCTTCGATGCTTTCGTTGACTGCTGATTGCCCGTCGGAGGATTTCGGGTAAGGGGGAAGCAAAGAGAAGACTGGGGAGGTGTGGTGGTGCTGACACGTGGAGGGAGCTGCGCCGTCTGTTTCGGGAGGGTCGGAGTTGAGATTGGCGGAGAAAGCGGCGGGTTTCGGTGGCCGTGGCGGCGACTTTGAACTCTTTGCGGCTGGGTACAGCTGCTGAGGCTCGTTTTGGTCGGACATTTTTGTGCTTTCGGCCCGTCAGTAATGGAGGAGGAGAAATTGAAAGACTTTTTGTTTAGACCATTTTCCTGAGTTTTTCTTTTCTTTTCGGTTGATTTTCTTGGCAACCAAACAGAGAGTAACAACTAGGAAGTGACCATTTACCGGAAGAAGAAATTAAAAAAAAAAAAAAGGGAAGGAAGGGAGTCGAGACCACCGAAACGGTGCGTAGCCTTCATATTTTATATATATGTTTTTTTTTATTTTGGATTTTTTAAAGGATAATGCTAAACCACCTTGAAAAAGACTTAATTATTAGGAAGATTAATGAAAAATGGTTTAAAAACTTTAATAAAGGTTAAAGTGAATAGTATCAAGATTGGTTTTTTAGTATAAAAATATGATTTTTCGTTAAAATAAACAGTATCAAGAGTTTTTTGTTAAAGTTCCCTTAATTATTTCTACAGTGCTTTTTTTTTCTTTTTTTTTTTTTCTCTGAACTTAAAATGGTATGGATAACATTTGGGACCAACATGAAGCCTACTTTTACTGAATTTTCGTCTAGAGAAACGGTCCCCACATACAAGAGGTTGGGGAGGACAATCTCTCCCTGGCAATCCGAAACTATCATTCATCCATTATCATATATAATTTTCAGTACATATAAATTTTTCTCGTAATGTACTTTATCAATTGCGAGGTTTTACCGCTACAGTCCACTCTTCCGCAGAGGTTTTTTTTGGCCACTCAAATGCCCCAAAGAAAGGAGAGACATAAAACATCAGTCGAACTAAACGCTCTTCCAAAAACCCCAGTAGAAGAATGTAGCTAATCCGTGGGATGTTCCGACCACAGAACAAAACGGTGAATAAGATGCATTGGTATTTGCCGGCCAGCCGAAGGAAACAAAAAACAGCAGCTTTATACATGGGCAGTGGGATCACTATAATCTCCTTGACTAAATTAAGCATTAATAACACAAAATAAACATCTGAGAACAAATCTAAATATCATCCCAATACCCACATCCACCTTTCAAAAGAGATAAGAAAAAACACGAATTTAAACAGTAGAGAGAGAGAGAGAGAGAGAGAGCTCATGGCCAACAACATTACATGAGAGAGAAGCAACCAAAAAACATGTGTTCCTTCTCAAGAAGCTGCAGAGCCTGGGTTGGGTTAGTGTGAGCCATCCGCAGCAGGTGATCCGAAGGCAAGGATGAGCCACCCCTTCTCCTGCGCCTGATCCACATAGAAGCTGAACTTCTCCCTCGCGTTTGGAATGTCAAGAGCCAGATCATCTAGCCCGTCCTTGACTCGGGTGAAGCCTTTAGTCATCTGGTTGATTGTGATCAGTCCTTCGCTGAAGCACTCCTGAAGCAGGTCTAGCATCCTGTCGTTCTTCTTTTCCATGGCCATGACCAGTGCCTTCTTCACCACCTCATGGTTGAAGAAGGGCATCCCAAGATCCCGAATGCACTGGCAGGCTTCGCTCAGAACGCCCCCACTCTCAAACTCCTCTAGCAGCTTTGCTATCTTGTCCTTCGCATCCTCCACAGCCCAACCAGTCCCGCCTCCCCAACATCTCAGGAGCCTCTCACCAGCATGACGAGCAGAAGTCAGAGATTGAGCCGATCGAACAGTCTCACTTCCACTGCTATTTGGTGGCAACTTGCTGCCAATTTCTTCCAAATTCAGAGGAGCTAAAACATCATCAATTACAGCCCTTGCCAGGAAAAGAGCAAGCTCATTCGAAGCATCCAAAATGTCCAATTCTGTATCCTCTGCAGATTCCAGAAGCAAGACAAAGCCATTAACTATGTCCTCGGTTGAAAAGATCTCAATGTGAAGGGCAGAAAGCAAAACAGATGCCATTTCCTTTTCACGGTTCTTGCGATCCATTGCAAGGGTGATCAGCTTCTTCAAGAATAGTGGATTATATTGAGGTACCCCAAGATCTTCAAGGCTCCGGATCAGTTCTGGGATATCATCGGAGAGAAAATATTCATGGATTATGGGCACAATCTCTTTCTTGTACCGCCTCACTTTTTCATCTTCAACTTGTGCATCACCATCTTCATTCGATGATTTCAAAAAGGAAGTATCAAGCCAACCTCCATCTGTCGCCTCGAGTACCAGGGACTGGAACAAGCTGACTGCTGACGGAATGTCAAGAGCAAGGTCGTCAAGGCTCTCCACCAATCGAGAAAAGCCCTTTACCATTTGACTAGAACTAATCAGGCCTTCTTCAGCTGCCTCCTTTAACAGCTTAATTACTAGCGGTTCTGCTGTTTGAATCTCCATGGCAAGAACCAAAGCCCTCTTCACAACCTCATGATGAAAGAATGGAACACCTAACTCCCTCATGCACCTACAAGCCTCAGAAGTGTCTCCACTTTCCACGTATTCCCTCAGTAGACCAGCAATTTTTTTCTTCACCTCTTCAACAGTAATGTGGGTGCTACCACCCCACCTCCTTTCCACAAGTTCTGCATGGTGTGGAGCTGAAAGGTAGCTCTTCTCAGCAGTCTGGATTACTTGAACGCCCTTTGAAGATTCTGGAAGTGCCTTCTTTGCCCTGGTGCAGAAGGCCGGGGGAAGGATGTCATCAACCACTGCACGAGCAAGAAACAAAGCAAGGATGTCTACTGCATCCGGTATGTCCACTGCGAGGTCATCAGCAGATTCAAGAAGGATGAAAAATCCATCTTTAATCTGGGGAGGACTAATGACATCAGCATACAAAGATGAAAGCAAAACTGAAGCCATTTCTTTCTCCTTATCATGCCTATCCAAGGCAATGGAAACAAGTCGCTTAATAAAGTAAGAATGATATTGACTTGAGCCTAGTTCTTTGAGGTCAGATGCTGCCACTGCCACATCACCAGTGCTGAAGTACTCCTCAATGATGGAAACGACAGCTTTCTTGTATTCATCCAAGGGATCTGTGACAGTTGACTCAACAAGTTGATATGGTTCCTGATCAAACCAGAGTACTTAGATTAGAAATCAGAAATTTCAATCTACCCTATCAGAGCACACAGTAATAAATGTAGGAAATATATATACACTAAACTTGAAAATTTATTACCTCGCCACTGTCATAGTTAGGGTCATTGCGATCAAGAGTGGCTTCGCCATCAGTGTCAAGAAGTTTTCCCCAAGTGCCCTTGCCACCGCCTCCCTCTGTTGCCATAAAACAAAGACGAGAAATCAGTCCCACCAACAAAATAACAGAAATAGATAATTTTATCGACCACCTACAATATCATCGATTCAGCACAAACGAACAACATCAAATAAAAAGTTAAAACTCGCAGAGCTATCAAGAAAAGAACTTTAAAACTGACCAAATCTAAGTACTACCTTGGTTTGAATTAATCAGTCATGAATTTTACCCACTTCAATCACACCCTATCAACAGCCTAAGTTAAGCTACATGCGTAGGAGCTTAATAGAAGAACAACAATTCAAAATCATGCATGAGATGCATATTTTTGCACGGTGCAACTAAGTTTCACAGCACCATCATGGTTCATGACTTCAGCTACTACAGCAATCTCGACAATAATATGCATGAGATGTACACCGTTATAGAAGGTAAAGTCCTGGTTCGTGTAAAAATAGAGTAGCAATAATTTACTTAAAAGGTTAAAAATTCAATTGATATATGCATACAAATTCTTATAAGGCCGACAATAATATAACAAGAGTCGCAGAGATAACGAAGCATAGGGGCGACTGGACAACTAGAGATATTAATAAAACCATAAACATCATTACGTAGTGGTAAGCTAAAATAAAATCAAACCAAATCACAAAGTGCCGAATGGGGACTTACCCTTCTTTACTCGCACCAACTTCCCTGAGTGTGACCGGCGTACATGCCTCGCAGCTATCCCAGCTGTTGGTGCCTTCCCACCAGCAGGGGCTTTTACATGGTGTTCAGACAGAAAAGATGTAGGGGATTTCGGTGATGACGACAAAACCTCCACATTCTGGCTAGCAATTTTTAACATCTCCCTCTGCTCATTCGTCAGAAATCCCTCACTCGAGGCCATTTACCCAGTCAAAAGTCCTACATGAATATTAATATTTAGTAAAAATGTAGATTAATCATTCGATCTTCGAAATTAATTTCAAGTTGATCACTCTAGTTTCCACCGTTCTTCGATTAACTAAAACCGAAAGCCCAAGTGAAAACAAATTCACCTACAGGAAAGGATTTACATTTATCTAAGCAGTATTAAACTAATCAAATATCAAAAACAAATTTACCTAAAGCAAATATTAAACTAATCAAATATTGATAGCGGATTAAGCAAGCATTACCTACACATAAAAATTACAGCTAAAAACTGTTTGGCTACCAAAAAAGGGAAGCAAATTGAAGAAATACAAAAGAAAAATGCAGCATCAGACATAGTAAAGCACAGATTTCATTTTTCCGAGCCCCAAACAATGCGAAAACCAAACACCACATGCATCATTTTCCTTTCCATTTCCTGTATTTTCTCAGCATCCAAACACCACCGACGTACACAATAAGAAAACAATCCACTCAGTGATGCTGTATGCATACGAAGTCGGAAGAGCGGCGAATTCGTTTCTTCCCGCAACAAAAAATTCGAAAATAACCTGTACGTATACGAAGTCAGAAGGGCGGCGAATCTGTTTCTTCTGTGCTTGGCCCGGATCTCGAGCCAAGAACAGGAGAAGCAATCGGATATCCAAATCTCAGAGCTCCGGAGTCCCACTGGAAGCGACGAAACGCCCGAAACGGCGGGAGACAAGTGCTAGCCCGGAAACAAAACGACGACAATCTAACGGATCAGCGGGTCGGGGTTGGTCCGGGTTTATCAGAAACCGGCGGATGTGGATCCGAATCTGTGAGTGAGTGTTGGAGTCTCAATCGGTCAGAGATTCGTAGAGAGAGAAAGTGAGGAGAGAGAAAGAGGGGAAATGGATGAGAATGAAAGTGTAGGAAAGCGGAGGGTTTTATAGGGAGGCTACGGTTACGAGGACACGTCATCACCGTGGGGGTTTTGGGTGCATATGCGATAGGGCCGTCCACGTGGCCTTCCTGCTAAAGCCAGCATGAAATGCTTTGGCCCTATCTTTTGCTTCCACCCGAGTCCGGTCTAACCCGGTTTAGGGTTTCCGGTTTGGGATATGTCGCGGAATTTACGCTTCTGCCTTGTTTTTTGTCGTTTTGTCCTGATGAGGTTTATCTTTGTTACCATAGAATTTGTTTAATGAAAAAAATTGTATTAATCTGACGCATTAAATTTTGTTTTGTGTTTAAGTAAATAGTTAAACCATTTACTCGAACAAAGTCTTTAACCATTTAGGAGTCAATTACTGTCAACTTTTGGCATGGTAAGGTCTTTAACTCGACATTAATAGAATAGTTATTTTCGGGGATGATTTTGCACACTATTTTCGTCTTTTGATTCTTTATTTGATTTGTTCAATCTAAAACATGAATGAACATAAATGTGGAGGACGAGAAAAAGAGTGGAAACTTGAGAAACTTTACACAAATTAGGCAATCTAACAAGTTTTAGTAAGCAAATTTTGTCGGCACTTCACACAAGTTACTTCAACAGAGCACTTTGCACTATGTTGGTAGCTGCCACTTTGCTAGCGCGCACTTCGCACATGTAGCTTCAGCTGAGCACTTTGCACTGTGTTGGTAGTTGCCACTTTGTCAAAGGCAAGCCTGATCATTTAAAACAATTCCTTGTATCTAGTGAAAGTTGTCACTAGTTTGTTGGATGACGTTTCTGCCTTCTGTAGTTTGATTGGTTGACTCATGAGTTCTTTTGGTGCAGCTTGTCATGGTCTAATAGAGGGTCATCACTTGGCTCGCAATCCATGGCCAAAATGGGTCATGGGCTGTTAATTTAGAACAACTCCACCCCTACAAATTGGCCCACATGTTGAGTGATTGAATTGTACAACCCTTCCAAAATCTGCTCCAAGCCAAGCCAATTGCCTCATCTATTGAGTGGGCCCATCTCTTATGGATCAAGTAGTCAAGTGAGATTGGCATGAAGCCTTGCTTGAAGCGATTTGACATCCGGTAAAGTTAGTCTATGGTCAGCCATGTTATAATTTTTTTTATGTCAAGTGCGTGGTCTTCACGTGCAAGTGGGGAGAGTGAGCTAACCAAAAAGTGTCAGTGGGACTTGCACTCAGGTGCACTCAATTTCTGTTCCAACGTGGGTCATTGGATTTCTTAGATCCGACGATCCATATTGATCTGCTTTTTTAAATTCAGAAAAAATAAAAATAAAAATAAAAATCTGAAAAAAGGTTCATCCCACGTGGCACAACCTGTGATGCTAGATTGCAAAAAATTATAATCCGAGGGTCTGTATCATTCATTTGAATAACATTAAAAAATTATTAAAAAAACACAGAAAATTGGAAAAAAAAAATTGGGAGCCTTACTTATAGAGACACAAATATATATCATATTTCACACAACTCCACACCTTTTAAAACATTACAAAAAGGGACAAAAAACCCAATAACAGAAAACCAAGCCCAACCCAAAAAGAAACAGACCGACTAAAATTACGGCCCATGCCACTCGACTATAACCGTTAATAAACGGTCACGTTAACCACAACACGACAAAAATCAATAAAACCAACTATTTTCTTCCCCTTTTCCATTCAATACCTACGTTCCACTTCCCCAAACCTATCATTTCAAATTCCCTATCACGCAAAAGATATTTTCCCATACAAAAAACCCTAAAATCTCCATAGTTTCTGAAACTTTCAAGATGGATTTTCAGTGATTCACAAAGTTTAGCCGGATTTCCAGAAAGATTAGTGTTTCAAAGGTTTTCCTACTACTCAAAATCATCTTTTTGAATGATTATAATTCAAACTCTGTAACAAATGAATGCATTATCAAGTGTTTTTGCACTTGATTTTGCAAAAGAAAATTGTAAAAAAATGCTTGCATTATCAAGTGTTTTTTGCACTTGATTTTACCAAAAAATTCAACGTTCCAGTTCGTGAAAAACCAATTTCAGTGTTTTAGATGTTTCAGGCTTTTTTAGTTTATATGTATAATGATTGTCAAACATCTGAATAAGAAAATGAATATGTGTCTAAATTTTGTGAGTAAAAACATTAACCATCTATTTTCGATGTTGCACTTTAAACTGATGCTGCACTTTGTAAATTAATTATGGTTCTACTTTATGTTTGTAAATTGGTTATGCACAATTATGCATCTACGTTGTACTAATGCTGCACTTTGTAAATTAATTATGGTTCTACATTCTGTTTGTAAATTGATTCTTAAACGTCTGAAAAAGAAAATGAATATGCGTCTAAATTTTGTGAGCAAAAACATTAACCATCTAGCTTCGATGCTGCTGCACTTTGTAAATTAATTATGGTTCTACATTCTGTTTGTAAATTGATTCTTAAACATCTGAAAAAGAAAATGAATATGCGTCTAAATTTTGTGAGCAAAAACATTAACCATCTAGCTTCAATGCTGCACTTTGAACTGATGTTGCACTTTGTACTGATGCTGCACTTTGTAAATTAATTCTGGTTCTACTCTTTGTTTGGAAATTGGTTCTACATTGTGCGTTTACTACCAATTATGCATCTACCGTGTTTGCTAAGTGATGCTGCATCTAATTATGTAGTTTGATTGGCTGACTCATGAGTTCTTTTGGTGTAGCTTGTCATGGTCCAATAAAGGGTCATCACTTGGCTCACAATCCATGGCCAAAGAGGGTCATGGGCTATTAATTTAGAGCAACTCCACCCCTACAAATTGCCTCACCTATTGAGTGATTGAATCCTACAACTCTTCCAAAATCTACTCCAACCTAATCCAACTACCTCATCTATTAAGTGGGCCCATCTCCCACATATCAAGCAGTCGATCAAGATTGGCATGAAACCTTGCTTGAAGCAATCTGACATCAGGTAAAGTCAGCCTATTGTCAGCCACGTTATAATTTTTTTTTTTATGTCAGGTGCGTGGTCTTCACTCACAAGTGGGGAGAGTGAGCTGATAAAAAAGTGTCACCTGCACTCAGGCGCACTCAGTTTTTGTTCCAACATGGGTCATTGGATTTCTTAGATCCAACGATCCATATTGATCTGCTTTCTTAAATTCAGAAAAATAAAAATAAAAAATCTAAAAAAAGGTTCATCCCACGTGGTACAACCTGGGATTTTGGATTGCAAAAAATGGTAATCCAAGGGTCTGTATCATTCATTTCAAAAACATTAAAAAATTATTTAAAAAACACAGAAAAATGGAAAAAAAAAATGAAAATTAAGAAAATTTGAAATTAAACATGATGTTTTATTATTAATGAAAAAAATAATTTTTTGAAGTCAATTGCCCGTGCTATTCATTTGCAGAGTAAAGCTACCCTCGAATGATTACGGTTCACTAAGACAATAATTGCCAATTATCCAATAGCACGTGCAATTATCACCCTCTTAGGGCCGGTCAGCCCAGTTCGTTCGGTTTGAACTCTGACCGGGCCCCACCCAATGCTGATCCATATTAGGTGAGGATTCTTCAGCATCAAGGCATACAAAAAGATATTGCAACTGGATTTTGGAACAAATGCTGACTGTCTGTATAGAGTTTGGATGTTATCCTCTTGAAGACTGAATAGGTCTCCGGCTTCAACAGCCAACCCGAGCAAAGAAGTGGACCTGGGAAGGGAAACCATCCGGAACTTGTGCACCAGGAAGAACAACAAATCCGTAAGCCGACTATTCCTCAACGGTTTTCAGTCAGCTCACTCCTGAGCCTTGCAGCCGAAGTTCTAAAACAAGCAAAAGCAAACAGGCTCATAACTACAGGATAATACAAGAACAGGAAATCCATGCGAGCTGAATGAGATGTATGCTCAAATAACAACATTTTTTCAGTACAAATAGATTGTAGACTAGTACAGGGGACTGGGTAAGCAAAAGAACTTTTTTCCCTTACATCGACATATGAACAGATATGCTTACCTAGTTGTATCAACGGAGACTAGCCTGCATCAGCTGCAGCCAATCTTCTTGTTTTGTGAAGGATCACGCAGATCTTGTAGAGAATTTCACCCTAACAACTTCTGTGTGGAGGTGCTTTTTTCAAATTTCCAACTTAGGCAGTCCAGACACGAAACAACTACTATCTCATAACCTTTCTGAAACTTTTGAAAGAAATGCAGAAAGTGATAAGCTGAAGATTGACATCACTCTGAGTTATCGGTTCTGACATAACGCTTGTTCTTGTTCTTCCAGAACTCATCTTTCTTTCCCTTCTTTTTAACTTTCAACAAACCCATTTTGCTATTAATTATACCGAGAATAGCACTCTTGTCCTTTTTGTTCTTCCGTGCAGCTTTCACATCCAAAATTGACCTAAGCTTTTCATAAGACCTGGCATCTGGCACTTGTCCATTTTTTACCATTTGCTTGTGGTAGAAAAATGCTCGTCTGAAATCACGAACACGAACATAGGCATAAATCATGGTCGAGTAAGTTACAGAATCAGGTTTTAACTTGAGAGCTGCCATCTCTTTCAACAGCTGTGGCAACTTTGAGTGTTGCCCTCCCCGTGCATACGCATTCATCAGCATATTATATGTCATCACTGTTGGCTGCAAGCCTACATTACCAAATTCGGAAATCACATCTCTTGCTTCCACATAGTGCCCTTGTTTGGCAAATCCATCGAGAAGAGTGTTGTATGTCACCTTAGTCCCCACAATCTTCTCTTTGATCATAAGTTTCCAAATTTTCATCAACATCTGCACATCACCAGCACGCCTAAATGCATCCAGTAAAGCAGTATAGGTTTCTATGGAGGGCTTTAGTCCTTCTTTTTGCATGTTTTCAAATGCAATGTAAGCCTTCTCATGCCAGCCGCTGACTGAAAACGCGTGAATAAGAGCTGTATAAGAATGTGATGTTGGACGAATACCAACCTTCTTCATCCTCAAAAAAGCATCCGCAGCCATATCACTCATCTTCTTTTGCCTCCCATATGCACTGATAAGACAAGTATAGGATTTGACATTTGGCTTTAGTCCCATATCCTGCATTTCGACCAGCAGCTTCTCAACAATCTCCGGCTCCATTTTTCTGCTGTATGCACTCATTAGAACATTAAAGGTGGCAGCTGTTGGTTTAATCCCCCTTGATTTCATCTCGGCAAAGAGACCTTCAGCTTCTTCAACTTGGTTTGTATTACAAAAGGCATCCATTAAAGTGTTATACACAATGGCATTTGATGAGACTCCTTTCTTCTCCATTTCTACTTGAATGATAAGGGCTTCACTCTTCAACCCCTCATCGCAGAATGATTTTATAAGAGCACCCAAAACTTCTTGACTCCATTTGACACCTTTCCTGTTCATTCTCTCGAAGAACTGCCATGAATCTCTTGCACTACGTCCAACTTTTCTCATGACAGTAATCATGATTGAACATGTCACATGATCCGGAAGGGTATTATTTGCTTCCATAGTCTCATACACCTTCCAAGCATCATCGTACCTGAAAAAAGTCAGTAAATATCAAATGAATTCTAGCAAGTTACTTTATCTCTTGCAAGCATCAACAACAACTTTCCCAAATTTTTTGTTCTTTCAACGAATAATCAAACAAATTGGATTAAGAGCATAATGCAAGTAGCACGAAGGCTTTGCATCGGGTCTACCGAAACATGCATAAAATCCCAACAATTCAAACTTCCAGTAACTCATCACATAACATCCTACTCAGACAACTACCAACAAAAGTTCTATTTGCATCGATATTGTTCAAAATGCTTCTACAATATGTTGCTACATCGTGCTGATCTCAGTGATATCAGTGCATTATCGATGATATATCAATAGTCGGTTCTTTTCATAGCCAGACTACAATTACTAATATGATATCACTACAAATTGACCGAAAAGCGAAATCTAAACTTCCAAAGGGCAAAATAAAACACAATTACCAAAGCATTTCATACCTCTTGGAGCACATTAAGCCCGAAATTGCAGCATTATACACATGAACATCCCAGAACTCCTTCTTGGCCGGTAAATTCCTAAACAAAATCATCAACTTATCCCCCATTCCAGCTCTCCCCAGCATCGGAAACAAAACCGAACACGCCCGAGGCGTAACGAGAGACGGCTCCTGCAAACCCATCCACTCAAAGAAATACAAGCAACCCACCAATAACCCCTCCTCACCCATCACCTCCAATACTTTCACACACTCTTTCTCCCCAACCCTTCCTTCGAAACCCTCCATAGCCTCTCCCAACGTCAAATTCTGCGGCAAAGTCCTTGCCTTTTGCAGAATCTCTTCGACAATTCCCTCAGGCGATGCATTTGAACCAAATTTGATTGGACCAACTTGTTGTTTCTGTTCTCCGAGCAGTTTTTTGACGCCGGTTTCGGGTTCCGATTCGTCTGCGAGGTGGGTATCGTCAGCCAAACGCCAAGCGGAGCGGCGGTTCTTTTGGAGAGAGAACTTGCCTTCGCGCTCAGGGTCTTGGGTTGAAGTGCGGGACTTGAAGAATCTGAGAATTGGATCATCTGGGTCCTCCTCCTCTTCTTCATCTTCTTCGAGTGCTGGTGGCTCTTCTTTTTCTTCTTCAGTTTCGTCTTCGTCTTCTTCCTCTTGGTTTTGAAGAAAGGGGAGGAAAATGGGAGCGGAGGAGAGAGAGGAGGGAGTGGGCGGAGCTGAGTAGAGAGAGAAGAGTCTGAGGTTTTTGGAGAATACGAAGAGGCAGGGTTTTGGGAAGTGGTGGTTTGGTGGAGGGTGGCTGTGGGAGGAGGGAAGTGACGGAGGAGGAGAGAGTTGGTGGCGGATGAGAGCCATGGTTTGGCGCCTTTTGGATAAGCTGCAGCTAGCTTTTGGTACTAGCAATACCACCGTCTCCTAGGAAATGAGGGATTAGACGGTGCGTTTTGGGGGCTTGGGGCAATCTCAGAAGGAGTATGGGATGACGTGTAATTTGGCCTTTAGAAGTCAAAATCTCAATTTTGTGTGACGTGTGGGCTTTATTTACACCCAATAGTGTAATCAGGACACTCATCAACCCTATTTTTACCCAAAATTTTCACTTTTACCTCGGTGATTAATTTTAGCATTTTTTTTGGTTTATTTTAAAATTTTGTTGCACCCAAAAGCATACTAAGAACTTGTTTGAAGTGCTAATAATTATTTCGTTTGTATAAAAAATCTAACCAAGTTTTAACAAATTGAATTAAACGGTGAAATTTGTTTGAGAACCGTAACTGGAACCTCCCATCCCTTCACATGTTTCTCTTTCCGTCACCGACCATTTCCGTCAACTTTCTGTCAACGAAAACATCGAGAGTCATCCTTCACTCAATTTTCTTACCAACCGTATTTGCCTATATGATTAGAAATGCTCTTAAAAATTATTTTATATTAAAAAATCAAATAAATTAGAAGAGAAAAATTAAAATTTTATTTTTAATTAATTTAATGGAGAAATTCACCACTCAACATTTTCCAAAGTGTACCACTAGAATAGCTAATTGGTTACAAAATTAAAAATAAGAGTATCCAATTGTACTCCCTCTATAGTGTATAGGAAATGGATCACCTTGTATCTTGTTGCCCAAAAACCATGTAAAACGAAAATCTCCTCACAAAAACGAGAGATTTTTTTGTGTCACAGAACACGAGCAGTAATTATGTGTCATATGCCTCTATTGTTTTTGAAAAGTGTTATTGGAACTCCAAAAATCTCATTTTACCCTCATCGTAAATATATATTTTTTTTCTTCTAAATATAAAAATTTGAAATGTCAATAACAATTCATATTTTTTTTTATTAATAATATATTGCGTGTGTGACCGTATCCAGAAGAACCGGATCCCCTCCAAAGCAATATATGCTAAGCGTGTTGAGCAGACCATCCAAAATGTTGAAATTTAATCTGATGATTACAATTATTATAACTTTTAAAATCATTTAATCAAATTTTAATAGCCGAATGAAGTGCTCAGCAGGCTCAGCATATATTGCTTCGAAGGGGATCCGGTTACGTATCCGGACACACTTAAACATCTCCACAAAACCCCTATACCACCGTCTCAACTTTCCAGAACACACAACTTTTCTCAGCGCGAAAAATATCGGTCAGTAATTACATCATCCCAAAAACCTCCGTCTTGATTCGATTTGCTTCCAATCTCTTCAATGGAACCAGATCTTCCGTCGCGATCCAATCGCAAGCGCCCCATCCCCGAGCTCTCCGACTCCGATTCCGATTCCGACAGACCCACGGCAGAAAGGAAGGTTAAGTTTCCCAAGGGGAAGAAGGCGAAACGGGAAGACGAACCCGTGAGGATACGCAGAGCCGACGAGGATGACGACGAGATCGGGGATGAGTTTCCGGATCCCCGTTTCGCCGCCAAAGAGCGCGAGAAGCGGCGGCGCTTCGGGGACGACGGGATCGGCGACGACGTCTCCGCCGCTGAAGTCGCGTACGGCGAGGAATTGGATTACGACAACTTCGTGGATGACGGGATTCAGATGGACCCTTTCAACTTGGAGAAGGAGAGGAAGGAGGGTTATTTCGATGCCGAGGGGAATTTCGTGGAGTATGCCGAGGGGAACCGAGTGAAGGATGCTTGGCTTGATAGTGTTGAAGCTGGGGTTACGAAATTACATGTTCCGATACCGAAAGCCGAAGATGATGCGGCGGATTTGCCACCGGAAGATGAAGATATTGGGAAGATTAAGAGGCGCATTGCCGACGTGCTCGAGGAAGGCGAAACAGTGTTGCAGGCTCTGAGGAGGTTGAAGGGGAACAAGAAGGTGAAGATGTCGCCGGAGACGAAGAGGGTTTTCGAGCAGCTGACTGAGGATGCTGTGACGCTGATGGACAAGCACGGGGAGTACGATGTGAATCACGAGAAGAAGGAGATTTTCGAAAGGGAGGCTCAAGGGTACGAGACTTTAGCTAGGGCAAGACTGGAAGGCATCCCGGCCGCGCCAGTTGGGAATAATAACAATGGTGGTGAATCTGCTGGAGATGGATATGATATGTTTGGTGAAGATGATGATGAAGAAGATGCTAATGCTGCTGCTAGACCCTCGGATTCTAACGGAGCAGGAGCCGGTTCCTCTGAAGGGCAGAATGATTATGTGTTTGATGAGAATTCGGGGTACTATTACAGCAGCAGTTTGGGTTACTATTACGATCCATCCACAGGACTCTTTTGCTCTGCTGCATCTGGGGTTTGGTACTCATACAATGAGGAGACTGGCGCGTATGATGAAGTTCCTCACCACGATCAGGCTGCTTCTGCTGCGGCCGCCACCACCACCGGTGTGAATTGAAGAGGATGAAAGAGATTTGCCGCTTCGGAACGTTGTATTATCTGCACTTGTTGATAGGTTAGAATTTAGATTTCAAATCGCTGTTGACTTCTTTTGTATTTTTCTTGCAAAACAAAGAAGATTTTAGACATGATTAGCATGATTTCACAATTAGTACTTAAACATGATCGTTTTGTATAGATCAAATGCCTGTTGCTGGTTAATGTGATGCTACATTTCATAACAGGGTGTATAGATTTGATGATGATTTTTGTATAGATCAAACCATATTAGGCCTCTGTGGAAGCAGAAGGTTATAGAACTTATCATGCAAAAAGAAACTCTTTCCCTTGCTATCGACAGCTTTTTTCCACCCGCACCATCCGCCATTTACAATTTTCTTGTGTTCGTCACTGCCTGTGTAGTGAGGATCGAGTATTAGGAACGCGCAATCTCCGCTTGCTTCGTTGCAGTCAACTCCCAATAGCGTATATGCCAGAACTCCACCACCTGCATTTATATATCGAGTCATAAGAGGTTATCATTCTGTGTTTCATCAATTGTTTCTGCAAAATATCTACCATCTTTAATCCAGAGGAGCGTCAAATTTACGGGGACAGGGAAGAACTAACCAATCATAATAGGTGTTCCTTGAGTCTCAAAGTGTAAGGCCAGCTCTCGACATTTTTCGGGAAGCTCAGCTCCAGATCGGACATTCATGACTTTGCAACTAACCTGTTCGATACAAGAAACAAATCTTGTTAAACTCCGGCGCGTTTTACTTGAGAAATTCTCAGTAAACCACATTGATGGTACTTACACCCAAAAGCTTGTCCAGGACAAAGCTCAACTCGATGGCGCCAATCCATTCGCGGGACCCAACGAAAGAAGGATCTTTATCACCAATCTCTACAAGTGCCTGCTGTATTTCCCTAATATGAATTTATATGATGCTGATATGAGGTGTCGGAAAAGAAAGCGAAACGATTAACTGAGGCAAAGCAAATTCTACGCTTGGCACATCTTTTACCTATGAGAAGGAACTTCTACGGATGTATAGTGTTGGAGTCTGAACCATGAAATAATCGTTTGTAGAGAGCGATAAGCACAACCCCAACCCTAGCAAGGAAAAGAAACAACACTTGACATAACTGAATTTCAAACTCATAGAAGGCCAAGACGGGCACTCCTGGAAATCAATTATTAGACAGCTTTAATTCAAGGGAGTTTTAACGAAAAGCCCGCGATACTTATCACTTTAACGAAACAATATTCACTTTACCCTTTATTTTGTCCTTATCGTTAAAACTCAACGTTTTCAACTTCTTTTCATTAGTTTTCCTTTAATTCAATCATAATGAAAATTCAACCTAACCGTAGAACCACAAAGAAGAGCTTTCGGATTTTTATTCTTTAGTATCTTCAAAAAAAAATTTAATCATAAATCATAGAATTAATAAATTTCAAACTTTATATTACACACATCCGTTAGAACTAGTGTTTGGGTGTTTCTGTCTTGGGGAAGATCAGCCTGTTATCCCTAGAGTAACTTTTATCCGTTGAGTTACGAATAATAGGTATAGAGAACGCTCATTACCGAATCATTAAAGGCATCTTGTAGATAATGGTAGTATTCATAAGAGCCTTGCACCAAAGACACACTGCCCCCAGAAACTGCATAAACAAAATTCAATTAATAGAAGGCAGGGAAAGGGAATAAACAAAGAAACAAGAGCAGCCACCAACCGCCACTGCTTGGAATCCCAACGTGTACATCTTTGAGCAAACTAGAACCTGAAATAACCATAGAATTGTATCAAAATAGTTATTACCAACAAAAAAAACCAAAGAAAAAGAAAACGTTTCTTTATGGAGACGGGATGACGTTGCCTATTCAATGGAAAATGGTTTACCTTTCCACTTTGCATCACTCCTTACAGCATCCCTCGATGTAGAGAAATCGAGAGCGTTGGCAATTCTTAGAAGAGGACGATCAAAAGGTAAACCCAGTCTTAAGTGCAAAGATTTTCTAACTTCAACTGCAGAAGGCTATGGCAAGATTAAGAAAACTAATTCTAAGAGCAAATTACAAAATTGTATAAGCTTCCTCTCTAAAAATCCATCCATCTGAGAAATAATCCTACCTTTTCCACATTCACAAACACTGAAGCAAAAGCAACTTTTTAATCATAAAAGAGATGCAAGTGTTTATTTTGATGATAAAAAAGAGCAATCTCTAAGTTTTCTGTGACGAGCCCGAGCCACTTAGTAGCATCTTAACCTTTTTGTTTTAAGACTAGTACTCTTTCAAAAATAGATTGTTTGAAGGAAGCAAATTTCATCTTTGCCACTGCGTACCTTGCTTCATTTCTGTTTCCCCATAGTTGAGTTCATAGACAACAGTGATCGGATGCAGAACACCAGGAGGGCTAAAGTGATACGGATGTAGCTGCAAATGCAACAAACAAAATAGTTACTTGAAGTTTGATCTGGCTGTTCTGATAATCATTAATCACTGTACTAGCTTTTTATTCAACATTTCTGTGAGCGGGCATCAGATACTACGGAATGTCCAGACAAAGCTTAAGGTTTTCGAGCATGTGCACATATGTGCTAGTCCATAATTATATGATATGGGAGCACAAGCACAGTGTAAATTTCAAATAAAGTAAGAAAATTGCACAGTGGAATGAGGATAATGCCAATAAGACTGGACCTTTTAATACATAAAGAAGAAAAGAAACTAGTTTCTTGGTAAAAGAACTTGGTAAACCCGAAGTGTGAATTTTAAGGGCTCACAATCAACAATTGGCCTCTGCCAGATGATGTCTTTATGAAATACAATAGCAGGAAGCATGCACATGGAAAGAGAGAGTGGAACGGAAATTACTCACTTGTACTAGAATTAATCTTGTGTTTCTGAATTTTCTGGTTGGAATTAGTATTTAGATGGATGGTAAGAACGAGAGATCCATATGATATTATACAAGAAATGGTTTGCCTTACCTGAGGATGTTGTGCTAAGAGGTTGGGTAGGACTGTATTTCCCACTAAATTAAACTGATCAATCAACCCCGGAATCAATAACTTTGAAACTGCATGCTTCAGTGGGAGACCCTTGGCTGAATAGCAGAGCACTTCTAGCTTAAAATCAACCACCAAAACTTTGGCTTCTTCCAAAGCTGAAACCACACAATTTAAATTCCATTAAACTGAGTAAAAATATAATCTCCACTAGAAAGCTTCATATTTGAAAATGTATATCTGTACCTCATATGATTAAGAGTGCAAGCAATACCTGGAAAATATTCAGCAACGGGTGCCATAGATTTTTCTGACTTATCTGAACTATTCAGCAGAATGCTTACTTGGATTCTATCTGCATGCTAAGCAGGAAAGCTAATCAAAAACTGAATTCCAGTATTTACTGTTATTGCTAAAAGAAGATTTAAACAAACTACCAAGGGAAAAATTACAAGATCTCAAATAAGCAATGAATCTCTTTCACTTTGTCCTACCTCAACAGAATATACCGGTGCACCTTTTTTACTTTCTAAACAGAAGTGGGAACATGACAAAAGACCAGCCTCAGAATCTTGAGCGCTTTCTCCTCCAAGTTTGACATTTGAGAGATCTGTGTCAAAATCCAAATCTACACCGCGGAGGATGACGGGTTGGGGTACTTCAGCAGATGTTTTGCTTAATGCTTCTACCAAGTACGCAGCCTTTGGATCTTTGAATTTTGCAATAACTGCTTCAGTTGCATGCTGAAACATCTTTTCTGAATCTAATACAATAGTACACAAGAAATGAACACCATTCAAATCAATTTGCAATAAAGCACATGGATCTCTTCATCCAAAAGGCAGAGTTAAACCGCGGCTAAATTTTATCCAATTGCAAGTATGAAATCAGAAATGAATGAGAAGGCATTTGGGAAAAAAAAGTTGACTATGAACAAATCCAGCTCATATTCTCGTCAACAGACACTCAACAAAGCCTTGGGAACTTTAACGAAAAGCTACCGGTACTGTTCACTTTAACGAAAAACCACATTTTTACACTAAAAAGTCAGTCATGGTATTATTTACTTTACCTTTTATTTTGTCCTTATCGTTAAAACTCAAAGTTTTCTTTTGTTTTTAAAGCGGTCAACTATAGTATAGTTATTCTATGAATCTACCCTTCTACCACACACTGGCGTTCCACCACCCCGAAAATGTCACTGCAATCTAATTTCTACACTCACATAAAATAACGCTTCAGAAATCATGTTATGCACTCATTTTAGCGAGTAAAAGCTCCCGTCAGTAGCTCATTCGTCCACAAGCAAACCAAATCACAGTACCAAACATAACAAACAACCAAGCCTGAACCACCACCAATGCTCAATCAATTTTCCAAATGAAACTACACAAATCTACGAAAAAACACCACCAGAAAAACTTACCCTTTGGCTTGCTAACTGGATAATAGATTGGCAGCTTAAACGGAAGCTCACACCAGAGCAGACAGCCCCTCTCCCAAACATACTTTTCAGGATGATCATCATACAACACATTCACAGCTTCAAAGCTGGTCAAGCTCTCGGATTTCGACACGAAAAACTGAATGTCACCGCCACTACAATCGGCAACACCACCAATTACTTGTCGACTATCCAATTTTTTTCCAATTTCTCCGCAGAGTAGCTTCCGCAGCCTTCGTGCCGCAGCAATTGCCTCGCCGGCGGCGCTCATTCCATCGCCGGAATTTGCAACGACCAATGCTCCGATCACCTCAAATCCTTTCAACAGTAATGTCCGAAGCTCTTCTGCTCAGATTACGAAAACTAATCAAAATTCGAACTGCAAATGCCCGAAAACACTAAATTCATTCAATTTCTTCGATTTCCTCGCGAAACAAACAGAATTTCGGTACCTGATTCTCTGCGGTAGTCGGGAGAGGAGGAATCGGTGTGGATGCATCTGACGGTGGAGACGACGGTGTGTGGCGGGAAAAATGGGAATCCGATCAGCCATTGGAGGCCAGGTTCGTTCTTGTGAAGGACGAGCTTAGGGCATAGAACTCGAACGCTTGTACTCTCGTTTACGTTCTCCATTCACTCTGACTGTGAGCTTTGCCCAAACCAGAGCTGCTCTCGTCTTCCCGATTTCACTGCCTCCCGCCGTTTCGGAGAAGCCGAAACTTTGATAACCGAAAATCGGAGTGGGTTTATGGGCCATTTGGGTTCAATAATTGTTT